CATAATATTGGAACCACAAAGAGCCACAGAACATGGACTTCAATCAACATTTCCAAATCCCATCAATGCTTTCTCTCCTTTTGTGGTGAACTTTCAACTGTTTTCAGATTTTAAATTTTTAAAAAATATTATAATTCATTAATGTGTCAATTTAGTCATAAAAATTAAAATTGTATCAATTTTTTCTTTAATTTTTGAAATTATGTCAATTAAATCCAATTTGAGAACATTTGTTAAATGGCAAAATTGTTCATTAAAAAAATGAATTGGCCATTTTGAATTGGAGGACAATCCCTCACTTTGGGGAGAGTGAATTGATTATTTTGCCCCTTGATTGCAGTTTAATTTCTAAAATGATTTGAAAAATTTAAGAGTAAAATTGTTAGAATCAGAACTACCAAAACAAAATTGACAAAAGAGGCAAATTATATAGATTGCGGGTGTAATTTACTACAAATAAAGATAAAAAAAATTTGTTTGTACTTCATTTTTCTTCTTTTCTTTTTGTTTTTATTTGTTTGTTTGTTTGTTTGTTTGCAAATTGTTATATAGCTAGTTAACATATTAAAATTAAGACAGTCCTCTCTTCCACCACAATTACCCTTTTCACTGGTTGCAGCCTACACACACTACAAAAAAAAACACTTTTCGTGACCAACATTTTGGTTGCGAAAAGTACCATATTTGGTCGCTAAAACCTTTTCGCAAAGCCTCGTCACAGATAGTTTTCTGTGATCAAAAAAGCCTTTGGTCGCTAAAAGTGACCATTCGCGACCAACTTTTTTGGTCGCGGAAAGTCCAATTCATATTAGCCAAAAGTAAACTTTTAGCGACCAAAGATAAGTTGGTCGCCAAAAGTCAGCGCCTTGACACGGAAAAAATAATTCTTTTGTGCTCCCTGGGACTTGAACACCTGACCAAGGAGTCACCATGCACCCAATCCACTTTGCCACTCTACCAATAACATACTTCTTGTTCATATTTGACAAAAAAAATATATAACCCATAAAAATTGGGTTATATATTATTTTATAAAACTTTTAATGCCTAAATAGAAAAATAGCATGTAATTACTATAGTATCATTTTTTTAAATTTATCCCGCCATAACTTTCCGCGACCAACTTTTTTTTTTTTTGGTCGTCAAAGGGTAATCTTCCGCGACAAAAAAAGCCTCTGGTTGCCAATAGTAGACTTTTCGCGGCCAACTTTTTTTTTTGGTCGCCAAAAGGTGATCTTCCGCGACCAAAAAAGCCTTTAGTCGCCAATAGCATACTTTCCGCGACCAACTTTTTTTTTGGTTGCCAAAGGATAATCTTCCGCGACCAAAAAAGCCTTTGGTCGCCAATAGTATACTTTCCACGACCAACTTTTTTTTTGGTCGCCAAAGGGTATACTTTCCGTGACCAACTTTTTTTTTGGTCACCAAAAGGTGATCTTCCGCGACCAAAAAAACCTTTGGTCGCCAATAGTATACTTTCCGCGACCAACTTTTTTTTTTGGTCGCCAAAAGGTGATTTTTCGCGACCAAAAAATTGTTGTCGCCAAAAGTTAAATTTTAGTCGCAGAAAGTGGATTATTTGCGACCAAAAAAAATAAGTGGTCGCCAAAAGTGTTTTTTCTTGTAGTAGTGAGACTACCATTTCAAATTTATCAATCACATACTTCACAGAATTTACAAATCAAATTGTCATGAATTTACAGCTTTCAATTGTAGTACGCATCAAACAATTGAGACTGACAATATAACAAAATTAATCACAAATATGAAAGAACATCAGTTTAACATGTTCCAAAAATTCCAAGATGTCCATATACCCATTTTTTTTTGGTCGCCAAAAGGTGATTTTCCGCGACCAAAAAATTGTTGTTGCCAAAAGTTAAATTTTAGTCGCAGAAAGTGGACTATTTGCGACCAAAAAAAATAGGTGGTCGCCAAAAGTGTTTTTTCTTATAGTGACATTACTAGAGCTTTTAAAATAATAAATAAATAACGAGGTTGTTTTATATTAAATAATATTGTTATGATTTCCAAAGTGCAAGTAGTGAAGAGGTTGGACCATAGGTCTTTTGCATGAAGAAAAACTAGCCATATAGATATGTCATATAGAATCTTCGCCATGAATATACAACTTTAAGATTGGTTCCATGGCACTGTCAAATGATAAAAATACCTTTTGCCATCAAAATTTCTTAAAATGAAAAAAGATGTATTTGGACAGGCAGCCAGCCAACCCCCTATTCTTTTTGACCTAGAATTGCGATTTTTTTATTTTTAAGTATTTTATTTATTTTTAAGTTGAAGTCTCTATATCCTTTACCGACTTCAATTAAACAAGAATTTTCACAAAATCAACAATGTCATGATTAAAAATAACCTTCCAACTGAAAAAAGCAAAGCAACTCGATGACACGTATCATTCAAGATGATCTTGTCATCAAGGTTGAGTTTATCACAAACCTGTTGAGTGCTATAACTTTATTTTTTAGCTTCAAAATTGATCTTCCCAACTTTAATAAAGATGATATGATCTTTCACCAATAATTAAGAGATTGGTCAAGATTAGCACAACACTGTACCAAATTTTTTTTATTTTATTTTTTGGTTAGTAGGGTCATTCATCCTATAGTGATCAGGGTTGAAATAACAGGCACTATAGGAATGTCAATTTGTTTCATATGATCTTGTTTGGTAAATGATGAAAGTAGTCTTTAATTTAGATAGGACTAACACCAAATATGTCCACACTAGGCTGCCCTAATTATTTTGTTAAAGTCTTTAATTTAGATAGGACTAACACCAAATATGTCCACACTAGGCTGCCCTAATTATTTTGTTAAATTTCTCCAATTAAAATAGTAAATTTAAAATTTACTTCTTAAATACCACCCTTACAACCTCTCTAATTGAGATGGGGCTTACAAAGGAAAAAAAAAAATTTGTGCAAGCTCCATTTGTTTCGACGGATTTTTTTTTTTTTTTTTTGGAAAATATTTTTTTTTGCGGATGACATTTATTTGAAAAAAAGAAAAAGAAAAAAAAAGAGGAAAATTTTACAAATCAGTGGAGATTTACAAAACAATTACATATTCATGAAAAAAATTTAAAACTTTAATTTTTAAAATTTATAATGTTTCCATTTGATTTGATTTTTTTTTTCAAAAACTTCAACTGAATTGAAATTTCTCCACAAAAAAAAAAAAGAAAAAAATGACAAAAAAGTTTTTATATGTTTGATTGCAACTTTAAAAAGGATATGTTAATAGTTGTCATTTACAACTGGTGATGAAGTGACAGAGGTGGCGGCGGCAACAATGGTAATAGTACTGGTGATCACTCGTATAATGATAGTTTAGAGGTGTTGGTACTATGTTGTGGTGGTGACTATAGTAATAGTGACATAGTGGTGATATTGGTGACGTGATCAAGGGTAACTCCACCCTATCAAAATCAAAATCATAATCTAACTAGTTCCTAAATTTGAATATTTGATGAGATTTTTGCAAAGTTTCTAATTGATACCAGAAACAAAATAAATTTAGAATCGCCGCCACTAGTGTAGTCATAGTGGTGACACTGATAATGATAATTGCAGAGTAGAGTAGTAGTAGTAGAGAAATAGAAGACTTATATGTAGGTCTTAATATGTGGACTTATTATTCAATAGGTCTTCTGATAATTAATGTCATTTTTTCATCAAATATTATTATAAAACGTCACTAATTGTTAATTTTCACCGATAATTTAAAAATTGTCACAAAAAATGTCACTAATTATAAATTATAGCGCCATTTAAAGAAAATCATAACAAAAAAACACTATTAATTTTTAATTTTCTCTTACCGTTTAAAAAATTCATCACAGAAAAAACTCACTAATTATAAGTTTTAGCTATAATTTACAAAAATCGTGACAAAAAAAGTCACTAATTATCAATTTTTAGCAACATATGCAAAAAATCGTTACAAAATATTATTTTTTTAGCGATAATTTTATTAAGACTTATTTTTAATAGAATTTTATAAAAATTAAATCTAACTATTATAATCTATTGGTGATTTATCCTATAGAAATTGCAGTAATAGCTATTGCTAGTGACAGCAATTTTGAAACATTTTTCACCGAAACAACAAACACATGACACACATATGATTTTGTTTTTTTGAGCACAGGACATATGTATATGTTGACACAGCGTAAAGAAATATACACTTTTGTAAAATAATTCTAAATTTTTGGCTGTAATATGAACTTTCCACCGTCAGCAAAAACAGTGAAAAGTGTAAGTAGAGAGGAAGGATGGGAATAACAGCAAAAATGCATGACACAAAAACCGTTCAAGTCAAAGGAGAACGGGGTGGGGGGACATTAAGTAGTAAATGCCAGCCCATAATGATTGGGATTTGGGATCAGATTACTACTAATCATTCTTAATCCTTGTCTCTTTGTCCCCACCGATTGCTCCTTTCTCAAACAAATCAACGTACCTCTTTATTCACAGTGTTTACCAAAAAGTTGCCGATTCGATAGTAATATTATTCATTTTTGTTGTTATAATAGTAGAGAGAGAAAATAATATATATTGTATTCAATGAATAAATCTATACAATAAAATGTCTGTATATATAGGTTAAGAAAGAATATCCTATAAGAAACTTAACTATAAGAAAGAATATTTTATAAGAAATCTAACTATAGTAATACAAACATATCTAGGAAATAATACCTAATATATCTAGGAATATATACTATATTTACATTAATATCTTTCCTCAAACTTAAGGAGGATAAATATCAACCAACTTTAGTTTGGAAACAAGGTCACTGAAGCGGCCAGGAGGATGAGCATTGGTGAAAATATCAGCCGGTTGATCAGTAGAGGCAACATGAAGAAGACGAACGGTGCCACAAGCAACATGCTGTTAAGTAAAATGATAGTCGATCTCAATATGTTTAGTGCGATCATGAAAGACATTATTGTGAGCAATCTGAATAGCACTCTAATTGTCACAATAGAGAGAGGTTGCACCACAAGAAGAAACACCCATGTCTGCAAGAAGCCATCGAAGCCATATAAATTCTTGAGTAGTGTTAGCAAGAACACGATACTCAGCTTTAGTACTAGAACGAGCTGTGAGAGTTTGTTTCTTGCTACACCAAGTAATAAGAGAATCTCCCAAGAAGAAATAAAAACTGGTAGTGGAACGATGATCAGTAGGATCCCCAGCCCAATCAGTATCAGAAAAGACACGGAACTGAGGAGATAAGCGAGCTGAATAATGAAGTCCACGAAAAAGAGTGCCTTTGGGATAATGTAGGATGTCAAGCAGAGCATCATGATAAAGTGTGCAAGGAGCCGACAAGTACTGACTAACAAGATGAACAGCATATGCAATATTAGGGCGAGTAACAGTAAGATAGACAAGATTGCTTACCAATTGGCGATAGAGAGTATGATCAGAAATGAGAGTCCCATCAAGAGGAGTAAGACGAGTTTGAGGATCAATCGGAGTAGAAGTAGTCTTGCAATCTATAAGGGTAACACATGTCAAAAGATCTTATGTATATTTGTCCTGGGACAGATAACAACCAGTAGAATCATGAGAGACTTCAAGACCCAAGAAAGAACTAGGAGTACCGAGGTCTTTCATCTCAAAATACTGACGAAAGAATTGCTTGAGGCTAAGAATGCCATTCGTATCATTGCCAGTGATAATCATATCATCTACATAGAGAAGAAGAAGAGTGGTGCCCTGAGCTGTTTTGTGAACAAATAGGGCAAAGTCATATGAGCTAGAGGTGAAGCCAAAATCATGAATGGTGGTACTGAACTTAGCGAACGAAGCACGGGGGGTTCTGCTTAAGACCATATAAAGCACGCTGAAGTTTGCAAACCTTATTTGCTGGATAAGTAGACCTAGAAGGAGATTAGATGTAGACTTCCTCAAGAAGATCACCGTTAAGAAAGACATTTTTCATATCCATCTGAAAAAGATTCTATTGCCCAGCAACAACAAAAATAATTAAGCTACGAATAAGGTAAGCCGAGCAATAGGAGCAAAAGTCTTTTCATAATCAATGTTATATTCTTGGGTGAAGCCTTTTGCAATAAGGCAAACTTTGTAGCACTCATTAGATCCATCAGAATGTGTTTTGATTTTGTAGACCCATTGCAGCCAATCGCAATCTTTCTAGGGGGTAGATCAACAATGTTCCAAGTATGAGTTTTGTCTAAAGCTTGCAATTCATTGTTCATAGCTTGTAGCCAAAGAGGATTAGAGCGAGCCTTATGATAGAAGGTAGGTTCATAAGTGCTAAAAGCGATGATGCCAACAATATAACCACGAAGACGCATAGAGGGTTGAATAACATGTTTTGGACGATTTGCAAGACCAACATCATGAGAAAACTCAACAGGTTCATTAGAGAAAGAAGACTCAATAGGACTCGAGGAAGTAGCTGCAGGACCATCAGGAAGAGTAGGCTTAGCGGGATCAGGTGTAAGCCGTCTCGAGAGATGTAGAAAGGGAACTTGCATCAAACTCATTAGAAAAGAGATCTATGGAAAGATTAGTAAACAGGATGGAGATGGAGCATGAAGACAAATGAAATGATGATAGAGAGGAAATGTGTTCCCAAAAAATCACTTGATGAGAGATACGAAGACGCTTAGAGATAGGATCCCAACAGTGATAGCCTTTGTGTTCAATTTCGTACCCTAGAAAATAAAACAAACGAGAACAAGGTTCAAGTTTGGTGTATTCATGAGGCTAAAGGAGAACAAAACATGCAAACCTGAAAACCCTAAGATTTGTGTATGGAGGACTAGTGCCATACAAGCGTTCATAGAGAGTTTGGTTAGTAATGATAGGAGTGGGTATACAATTGATGGTGTAGACAGCAGTAAGTGTAGCTTCTCCCTAACAAGTTTCAAGACAAGAAGAAGAGATTAGGAAAACTCAAGTAGTCTCGAGAACATGCCTATGTTTCCGTTCAGCACGTCCATTTTGTTGGGTCGTGCCGAAACAGGAACAACGAGGCTGAGTACCATGACTTTAGCGAAAAGAGAGAAAATCAAGATCCCTTTACTCCATAGCATTGTAAGAGCGGAAAATTTTAATAGTTTTAGAAAATTGAGTGCGGACCATTTTTGCAAAATTGTAATAAAGTTGTTTAAGTTCATATCGATTTTTCATGAAATGCAATCAAGTAAACCGAGAAAAAAACATCCACAAAAAAAACAAAATAACATGATCCCCCTATGGTAGCAGTAGGTGACGGGCCCCAAATGTCAGCATGTATAAGACCAAACAGTGCATGAGAAACATAAATACTTTTATTAAATGATAAAGTAGGCTGGTTTGCAAGTTGACAATGCAAACAATCTAAAGTATCTGGGATAATATGACCTAATTGACCAGTAGAAACTAAAGACTTCAATCGACTAACAGAAATATGCCCTAAACGGCAATGCCAAAGATAAAAAAGAGTCAAGGTGGAAGCGGATGTAGAAGCAGTGAACTATGTGGAGTTCGGAACATGGAGGTAGATGAGCTCATAGAGACGTCCATGTTTATGGCTGATCCCAAGAGTTTGTCCTTTTTGAGGATCCTGCACCAAACAATTATTAGTAGAAAATGTGACAGCTGGACCAAACTCACATAATTGACTAGTGGAAATAAGGTTTAAGGTGAGAGCAGGCATAAGATAAACATTTGATAAGGACAAATGAGATATGAAAATAGAACCAACATGGCTTACAGACATAAGAAAACCACCAGCAGTATGAATGGAAAGAATATGAGAAGAGGAAAAAATATAAGAAAACATAATAGAATTGGAAGTCATATGATTACAACAGGCTGAGTCAAAATACCAAGAAGATGTACCTGAAGTCACAGAAAAAGCAGTAGAAGAAGGTTTACCAAAGGTGAAAAGAAATTGTTTAAACATGGCCTTAACATCAGTTTGGGAAAAGACAGGAGTAGACGAATCTAAAGGCAGTAACAATAGTACGATAAATTAGCAGAGATCGAGACTAATTCCCAGAATGACGTGGACCCCTCCTCCCCCCCGTGAAGAGCCACAACGAGAGGACTGACTAGGAGGAGATTATCAGGATGGATTACGAAAGCAATCTCGTTGCAGATGACCAAGACCAATCTGGTTACAGTACAGCAGAATCTGACTGGGCAATGAATAAGAAGATGAGTAGAAGGAAGGCCTCGATTTTGATAGTAAATGCAAGTATTGGACCATTAGGTGGTCGAAGAAGAACCCCATGACAGAGTAGTGGCAAGAACTGTAACGCCCCAATTTCTGGGCCGCTAAAAAATCAAATCAACGTCAAATTTATAATTTGCAAATAACTCATAATCTCAAATATACAATCATCTCCATAAATAATTAACTCAAATATCTCCAAAACATAAATTATAGAAATCTCCAAAATAATATATAGTTGTGGACTAAAAAAAAACTCCAACTCAAATAATCTCTTTAGATGCTTCAACTTCAATCACCACTAAATTTGCTCCACGCCTGAAAAATAAATTAATTTGAGAAGTATACAATACAACAGGAATAACAAGGCTCGGACAGAAAATAAATCAATAGAGATCCGACAATTACACAACCGATTAGATTCGATAATCAAGCAATTTACCAAATTCTACAAACAAAGTCAACTTGACATATAATCAAGCAATTTACCAAATTTTACAAACAAGTCAACTTGACATATGATAATTTATCCACAACCAAATACCTGGTCTTACTCGGTACATGACCAGTGACTGGCCTCACTCCCCTCATCCAAGCACAACCGCTTATCCGGGCTATGGGTACAGAGCATATTGGCAAAGTTCACTCGATCCATGTACAGAGCATTTCCACGTCATTTAGCCAGACAAATCAACATTTCCAACACAGAATAACTACACAGAGTTCATCAAATGACTAGAGTAATCAAATGAATCAACAACGAATAATTCCACAGAATTTATCAAACGATCAGAATAATCAAGAGGAATACAAATTTATGGGAATTAAAAATAAACTCTTTGAAAAGAGAATTTAGGGAAGCATACTGTATACCACCGAATTACCTCAAATCAATCTCCTCCGTCTCCAACACTCGAATCTTGATCTTTCTCCATGAATCTCCAAAGTGGCATAAGGTATGTAAGGTTTCACAAAATCTACAACTCTCTTCCTTTACGAAAATGCTTACACTCACTCTATACACTCTTAATCTAAACTCAAAATTTCTATAATTTAAGAGAGAACAAAATGAGAGAGATAGAGATATAGATGGACCAAGAGGAAGAATGATAGAAATGGTTGAAAAGTGAGCTCAATTTATAGGCAAGGATGCTTGGGACAAAAGAAAAGGAAAGATAATAAAATAAAGTTTACTTGGTGGGCAAAAAAGGGGTGTACTTGGTACTCGTGCTTCTAGAATGCCATGATTACAAGCCTTGAAAATTGATCCCTCACACTCTCCTAGGTTGGCCGGCTATGGGGAAAGGAAATGGAGAATATTTTATTCAATATATGTGTACTATGGACATATTCCCAATGTATATATATAGAATTGGTAATTGGTACCAAGGTCATCATTGCTCCAAGATTTTAAGGGATTTGTTTGTACTAAAGTACAATGATTATAGCCTAGGAGGTATGATGGCTAGCCATGTGCTCAAGATTTGGGAGATTTTCCTATTTATTATGTGTACAAATTCCATAGATATCGTGTACAAAAAGATTTAATGAATAAGAGGTACAAATATATATATATACAATGGTACTAACTTGGGGTCAAAGAAAGAAATTTACTTGGTGCCCAAGAATAATGAAAAAAGAATTATTAGAAAACAAAGGAGATGAATAATAATAAGGTGGAGAGAAAAAGAGATAAAATAAATGGAGAAAATAGGTTAGATTCTCACCTAAGAATCTCACCACGAAACTACCACCAATACCTCTCACTAAAATATTAATACCTCAAAAATACGGGATTTCACAATCTATCCCCCTTAAACAAATTTCGTCCTCGAAATTCACAATCTCTAATACTCCAAAATATTTAACAACTGCTATCTCCTTGAATAACATGCTTTCGCTACACACTCTGAAATAAACAATGATTTTTTTTTATTTTTATTTTATATCTCAAATATCAATCATTTTTTTTTAACCTCAAATACTGAACCCAATTATTAATCACCCAATATATCTCATGTAAGACCTAATTCCTACGCTCTGATACCATTCTGTAACGCCCCAACTTTTGGGCCGCTAAAAAATCAAATCAACTCAAATTTATAATTTGCAGATAACTCATAATCTCAAATATACAAATCGTCTCCATAAATAATTAACTCAAATGTCTCCAAAATATAAATTATACAAATTTCCAAAATAATATATAGTTGTGGACTAAAAAAAAACTCCAACTCAAATAATCTCTTTAGATACTTCAACTCCAATCGCCACTAAATTTGCTCCACGCCTGAAAAATACATTAATTCGGGAAGTATACAATAAAATAGGAATAACAAGGCTCAGTCATAAAATAAATCAACAGACATCCGACAATTACACAACCAATTAGATTCGATAATCAAGCAATTTACTAAATTTTACAAACAAGTCAACTTGACATATGATAATTTATCCAGAACCAAATACTCGGTCCTACTCGGTACATGACCAGTGACTGGTCTCACCCCCCTTACCCAAGCACAACCGCTTATCCAGGCTATTGGTATAGAGCATATTGGCAAAGTCCACTCGATCCATGTACAGAACATTTTCACATTATTTAGCCAAACAAATCAACATTCCCAACACAAAATAACTACACAGAGTTCATCAAATGACTAGAGTAATCAAATGAATCAATAACGAATAATTCCACAGAATTTATCAAACAATTAGAATAATCAAGAGGAGTACAAATTTATGGGAA